GAGATAATGTCCTTTCTTTTCCAGTGTTTCATGGGGAAAAATTTCTTCAGATATAAAGAGTAATAAGTCAGTTATTTCCTCAGATGTCATAAAGTCATGCTTTTTTTAAAAAAAACTACTTTTAGTTAGAAGTTTTTCTCAGATTTATTGAGGTATGATTGATAAAATTGTAAGATATTTAAAGTGTATATCATGATGATTTGATATATGTATACATTGTGAAAGGATTTCTCCCATCTAGTTAACACACCTATCTCACATTTTATTTATATATGTAAAAATATATATGAAAATAATATAAATATGTATATATTTTATATATGATATATATTTATATATGAACATTTAAATTCTCAGCAAATTTCAGTTATACAGTGTTTTTTTTTTTTTTAAAGATTTTATTTTTTTATTTGGCAGAGAGAGAGAGTGAGAGCAGGAACACAAGCAGGGGGAGTGGGAAGAGGGAGAAGCAGGCTCTCTACTGAGCAGGGAGCCTGATGCGGGGCTCGATTCCAGTACCCTGGGATCATGACCTGAGCCGAAGGCAGACGCTTAATGACTGAACCACCCAGGTGCCAAGTTGTACAGTGTTTTCAACTATAGTCACCAAGTTTTACATTAGATCCTCAGATCTTACTAATCTTCTAGATGTAAGTTTGTACACTTTTACCAAGCTCCCCTTTTCTACAAGTTTGACTTTTTTAAAGATTCCACATATAAGCAATACCATGCAGTGTTTGTCTTTATTTGGCTGATTTCATAAGCCAGAGGCATAATGCCTCAAAGTCCATCCATGCTGTCACAAACAGAACTTTCTTCTTTCTCATGGTTGAATGATAATGTGTGTGTGTGTGTGTGTGTGTGTGTGTGTGTCACATCTTTATGCATTTATTGACAGACACCTAGGTAGTTCCATGTCTTGGCTGTTGTGAATAATGCTGCAGTGAACATGGAAGTGCTGGTATTTCTCTGATATCCTGTTTTCATTTTTTTTTTGATACATATTCAGAAATGGGATTGCTGGATCATATGGTAGTTCTATTGATTTTTAAAGGAACCTCTATACTGCTTTTTATAGTGGTTGCACCAATTTATATTCCCACCAACAGTGCATAGGGGTTCCCTTTTTTTACATACTTGGCAACACTTATATCTTGTCTTTTTGGTGACAGCTATTCTAGCAGATATGAGGTGATATACATTGTGCTTTTGACTTGCATTTCCCTGATGATTATTGATGTTGTGCACCTTTTTATGTATTTGTTGGCCATTTGTACGTCTTTGGAAAAAAGTTTATTCATTTCCTCTATTTTTTAATCAGACTTTTTTTTTTTGCTATTTGGTTGTGTGAGTTCTTTATATATTTCGGATATTAACCCCTTATCAGATATATGATTTGCAAATATTTTCTCTCATTCTGTAGGTTGTCTTTTCATTTTGTTTCCTTTTCTGAGCAAAAATTTTTTTAGTTTGAAGTAGTCCTACTTGTTTATTTTTGCTTTTGTTGTCTTGGCTTTTTTTGCCATATCCAAAAAAATCATTATCAAGACTTATGTCAAGGAACTTACCACCTATGTTTTCTTCTAGGAGTTTTATGGTTTCATAATTTGTGATGTGTAAGATAGGTTTCTAGTTTCATTCTTTATATTTGGCTGTCCAGTTTTCTCAGCACCATTTATTGTAGAGATGATCCTTTCCCTCTTGTATATTCTTGACTCCTTTGTTGTAAATTAACTGGCCCATATAAGCGTAGGTTTATTTCTGGGTTCTCAGTCCTGTTCCATTGACCTGTGTGTCTATTTTTATGCCAGTATTAGACTATTTTGATTACTATAGCTTTGTAATATGGCTTGAAGTTGAGAAGTGTGATTCTTCTAGCTTTGTTGTTCTTTCTCAGAATTGCCTTGGCTTTTTGGGTCTTTTGTGGTTCCATATAAACTTTAGGATTTTTTTTTCTGTTTCTTTGAAAAATGCTATTAGAGTTTTGATGGGGATTGCATTGAATCTGTAGGTTGCTTTGTTTGTAGAGACATTTTAACATTATCAGTTCTTCTGTCTGTGAGCGTGGTATGTCTATTGTGTCTTCTTTATCAGTGTCTTATAATTTTCAGTGTATAGATCTTTCACCTCCTTGGTTAAATTTATTCTTTTTTTTTAATTTAATTTTATTATGTTATGTTAATCACCATACATTACATCATTAGTTTTTGATGTAGTGTTCCATGATTCATTGTTTGCGTATAACACCCAGTGCTCCATTCAATACGTGCCCTCTTTAATACCCATCACCAGGCTAACCCATCCCCCCAGCCCCATCCCCTAGAACCCTCGGTTTGTTTCTCAGAGTCCATAGTCTCTCATGGTTCATCTCCCCCTCCGATTCCCCCACCTTCATTTTTCCCTTCCTACTACTTTTTTTTTTTTTTTTAACATATAATGTATTATTTGTTTCAGAGGTACAGGTCTATGATTCAACAGTCTTACACAATTCACAGCACTCACCATAGCCCATACCCTCCCCAGTGTCTATCACCCAGCCACTGCATCCCTCCCACCCCCCACCACTCCAGCAACCCTGTTTCCAGAGATTAAGAATTCCTCATATCAGTGAGATCATATGATACATGTCTTTCCTTGATTGACTTATTTCGCTTAGCATAATGCCCTCTAGTTCCATCCACATTGTGGTTAAATTTATTCTTAAGTATTTTATTCTTTTGATATAATTGTTAGATTGTTTTCTTAATTTCTCTGATAGTTCATTGTTAGTGTATAGAAACACAACTAATTTTTGTATATTTTGTATATGGCAGCTTTATTGAATTTGTTGGCAAAGTAATACTTCATCATTAAATTGTTTTGAGTAATTTCATTCACTTTCTGGTTTCTTTGTTTTTTGGTTTAAGCATATAGCATTAAAAACAAAACATCTGTTTGACTGGTAGAGTCTTTGCTCTTATCTTTTTGATCTGGAAAGAGCACGTATGTTCTCAGTAGTCAGTAGTTTCAATTATCAAATGGGGAAGGAGGAATTGAACTCTTTTTTTTTTTTTTTTTATTGTATTGACAAGGGGATGCAGCATTGGTTACTTTCATTGAGGCTGTCTGGGAGTTGAGGAGAAAGACCTATTTTTTAGGCCATGCAGGCAAGTGTTTGGGTATTACGAAATTCCCAAAGGTGAGTAGTAAACTACCCAGGCATCAAGAAACCAGTTAGTTTATTTTAATTGAGTAGAAAGTCCCTGAAATTGATTCAGCCATAAAAAAGAATGAAGTCTTGCCATTTGCAACAGCATGGATAGATCTAGAGCATGCAATGCTAAGTGAAGTCAGTCAGAGAAAGACAAATACCATATGATTTCACTCATGTGGAATTTAAGAAACAAATGAACAAAGAAAAAGAACAAAACAGACTGTTAAATACAAAGAACAAACTGGTGGTTACCAGAGGGGAGGAGGGTAGGTGGTTGGGTGAAATAGATGAAGGGATTAAGAGTACCCTTATCATGATGAGCACTGAGTAATGTATAGAATTGTTGAATCACTATATTGTACACCTGAAATTAATATAACACTGTATGTAAATTGTTCTGGAATTTAAAAAATTAATTTAAAAAAGTCCCTGAAATTGGTAATTTTTTCAGGAGTTCTGGAGACATATTTTGGAATGTTAGGATAGATTGCTTGAACTTGATATGATGGCTCCCAATTTGTTTCATATGTAGGTAAAATAACTTTCGAGCTTCACTAAAGTTTTTGAGATGATAATTTACTACTTGAGAAGGTTATAAAGGTAAAAATAATCTCTAGTGACAAGAAACTCAGTTCTTCCTAGGTCAGCGCATTTCCTGGTTGGATTGTTCTGACTGGGGGGATTATTATAATCTACACATAATAATGTGTGGATCTTTCTTGCTTCCTGTAATTGAAGCGAGGGAGCTTGAGATCACGTGTTGTGCCACCTCGTAGGGCATCACCTCCGATGAGTTACTTCTCTGTGCTTCAGGTTTCTCATTTCTACAATGGAGGACAATACTTCATAGAGTTGTTCGGCTGAGTGAGCAGAGTAGTTAGTACTTAGAATAATAAAACAATAAGTGTCACTTCTATCATTGTTATTAATGTATTTGTTTTAATGATTTGAAACGATTCCAAGAATATTTAGGAGATATTGTCACCTCTTTGATTTCTAGCATATAGGCTGTGTGTCATCACGTGAAATTGAGGACGTAGGTTTGGTGGAGGAAGGGGAAGACAATGCTGAGTTTACTTCTGAACATGCTGATTTTGAGGTGTTTGTGGAATAATACTAGGACTGAGATACCCAAATTTGAAGAAGAGGGCAGAGTCCTTGGCACATGGGTGATAATTAAAACTATGAGAGATGGGCTAGATCACTTAAGGATCTATTTTGGTTATATATTAGAAACCTGATACATGAGCTTTGTAAACATACTTATAAGGGTTTGAAAGAAGTAGAGATCCCATTAAATAGGGGGAAATAGGAAGGCTTTATGGAAAAGGCAAATAAATACATAAAATAAAGGCTATATAAATATATTTTCTAATGAAATAGTAATTAAACCAGTTATAAGTTTTTAATTACAGCAATCATTTATTCTTCTATAATACAATGATTGGCATTTACCAGAAATGAAGAAATAAAGAGATTAACATAGTGAAGTCTGCTCTATCCAAAAGATGTTCCACATTTGGTTATTTTTTTGTGGTAATATAGAATTCAGTAATCCTTTCAACAAATATTTAATGAACATCTCCTGTTGGGTACTGAGGATACAGAGAAGACCAAGATGCAGTTTCTTTCCTCAAGGAGTGCATACTCTAGTAGAAGAAACAAGTAAAAAAAACTTAAGTTCTATACAATAAATGATATAAAAGTGGTATATATGAGTAGAGAAATTTGGGGTTCTAGTGGAAGGAAGAATGAATAAATGATTATGTTGCTATGACAGCAAGTGTTTTCCTTTTCTTTTCTTTAGTTGGAGAACATCAATTGACAGGCCATAAAGTGGCAGTTAAAATCTTAAATAGACAGAAGATTCGCAGTTTAGATGTTGTTGGAAAAATAAAAAGAGAAATTCAAAATCTGAAACTCTTTCGTCATCCTCATATTATCAAACTGTAAGTATTTTTGTACCTGATAATGCAAAAGAGAAACTGTCTTGAGATATTTCCTATGAATTTACAAATAATTATCTTTAGTTAACTTTTTATGAAAGTATAAATCTTTAATACTTATATTCAGCAAGTGTTAATTCATTTAACCTCCATCAATCCTTTCTTGCATACGTTTAGTTTATAATTAAAAGTCAGTTTTTCAAAATTGGTACTGTTTTCAACTGATGAATGCAGCCTTGGGAGTTGACTCTTCTCTAGTATTCACTTTAAAGGGCCTTTAGGACTTCGATGTTTCTAGATTCATTTTATAATTTTTTTCTAGTCTCGTTTCATTAACATTACAGTGATTTCTTTTTGGAAAAGGTAAAATGTAACTTTAATATTATCCACCATTGTATATTACTTGCAAAACTGCAATAATTACTGTGATTACTGATAGCAGAGCTCTTAGGAAGGCAGGTGGATTTTTTTTTTTTTGATAGGACAAGTTACAAACTTAAAAGATAATATGAAGAGATTGATAAAGCTGATTAATTATATTGAAAGAAATAATTTAAAATTGATTAGAGCTAGAAAAAGTAGATATTGAGTATGTAACAGTATCCTTTGAAATCATTTAAATCATTAATATTTACTGAGAAAATGTAATACACTAACCACTGAAAATTGTCTTTACTTTATGTCTTAAAGCTTGGATAGAGTTTTATAGAATAAATATTAATCTTGTTGAGTACCTGCTAGTGGCTAGGAACTGTGTTGAGCATTTTATAAGCTTTATTATTTTTTTTATTTATTTATGAGCAATATATAATTTCACTTTATCCTCATGATAAGCCTATAGGGTAGGTATTGTTTTCAATTAATAAATAAAGAAATTCCATATCTAAAGAGTATCAGCAACGTGTCCAAGGTCAAAGAGCCAGTAGGTTGTGGAGCTGGTAGTTGAGTTCATATCTGACTCCAAACACCATGCTATTAATGCTTTACTCCAGTACTCCAGTCTTTCTCAAAACAAAGTTATATGAACTCCTTTTAAGGAAAAAATAAATTTGTGGATCCCTGGTTTTGACTTAATTATTTTTAGTATATTGTTACTTAAGTATACAGGAACAAAGAATTTGGTATAATAAACTCCATATGCTTATAGCTTTGACACAATTATGAAACCAAGATAAATTCACAATTTAAATATAAGACAAGTCAAAGAAATTCAAAGTAATAGCTATAGTATAATGTGATGAATAATTTTTTCAAAATTTTTGAAATTTTGAAATTTGAAATTTTTCAAAACCATTTTTCAAAAACCAAATCATTGTTAGTTTAATAGAAGGACATCCATATTTATATTTTGATTCAAATAATATTGAAGAGAAAGCCTGTTCATATGAGTATATTGTAAAAAAAATCATTATTAATGTCTTTGAGGCTTTGTTTGCTAGTTCACTGTAATCAGATATTCTCTTTAGCCTAAACTTTGTTAGTGAGCCGTCTTTGGATGTCAGTGTTAACAAGGAAAAACTTGATAATCTGCAGAGGTACATTATTTGCCTCACGACAAGGCTAGCATAGTAGCTGTGATAGGCTGATTAATGCCCCCCCAAGACATCCTAATCCCCAGAATCTTTGAATATGTTATATTACATGGCAAAGGGGAATTAAAGTTATAGATGGATTTAAAGTTTCTAATCAGCTGATCTTATAATAGGGAAATTTTCCTTGATTTTCTGGATGCGCCAGTAGTAATCACAGTGGTCCTTAAAAGTGAAAGAGGGAGTCAGAAGACTCAGAGAAAGCGATTTGAGAGTGAAGCGAGGGCAGAGTGTTAAAATGTGAGAAGGACTCAACTGGCTGTTGCTGCCTTTGAAGATGGAGAAAGAGGGCCATGAGCCAAGAAATGCCGGCACTCTAAAAGTTGGAAAATACAAATATTTTCCTCTAGAGCCTTGCTGCCAACCTTGATGTTAGCCCAGTGAGACCTGTCAGACTTCTATAAAACTACAAGGTAATACATTTTGTTGTTTTAAGCCACCAAATTTGAACTATGGTAGCAGTAGGAAACTAATACAGGAGCATTCCTGAAATCCTTAAATGAGTGGCTTATCCAGTTATTATTGCTGGGATTGGGAACATGCATTTAGTCTTTACTCATACTAGCTACATTTATTGTTAGTGAACTGCTGCAGATTGGTATGTTCAGTGCATCTTACCAACAATATGAATATGTGCCTAACTGTTCAGGAAGGCTTTTTCTGGAGGGCCTTGGTCTGCTGTTGGGTAGCAGAGATGACTCAGGTCTCACACTGTTACCATGAGATGTGCATTCTAACAGTGAGCGTCAGTGTCCTTTCATCTTCATGTGAAGTTCACTTGTTCATCGACATAAAGAAGAAATGAGGTCTCTAAAATAACATGACAGTGCATGATTGATTACAAGGTTATCGTCTAGAACCTACATTCTAGATGATTCAGGATATGTATATGCAGGTTTTTTAAGATTAGCATAAGAAATAAAATGCCACCTACTAGCTTGGTAACTCAACTCTCATATTCTTTGTTTCCTTAATTTTAAAGTGGGGATGTGTTTGCACTGGTATAATGCCTGGTATTTGATGAGCATTGGCCTAAAGTGGGACTAGGTAACCTACAAGCTGATATTTCAGTCCACTTTCATGATTCTTAACTGTTTTTCCCCTACTTGAAACAGTTCATAAATAACTTTGACTCCATGCTGATAATGACTTTATTCTAGTTACTGAGTGGCTTCTAAGCTAAATCTTTTTGCTCTTCCTTACTGAGCGGCCACTTCCTATAAGAGGAGAAAGCTGGGAAGCCAGACTAAAAGTGTCACATGCCAGAATGAGAGTGAAGGGGGAGATCTCTGTATTTGCCTTGTTCCTTGACCTCATCCCTTTTAGAATGCCAGCCTGAAAGACCCCAGAGAAATTTTGTCCACTTAGGGTATGAATCCTAGTTCCTGTTGTGTTCCTGCAAACACAAATCAGATTTTGTCAGTAAGCAGTTGCAACTGTCATGAGGATTTAAAAGCTTATTTTTGATGTCATATCTACCAGTGTTTTCTTGTCTTCATTTCTATAATGATAATTTCAAATTTTGGTTTAGCTAATTATCTTATTCTGGTTTAGAATTATTTAAGTATTTGCTATTTTGTTTTGTGAGAGAGATGTAGAACATTCTCAGGGTTGATCAGAAAGTAATTAGCAGAGGTGAATATAATGTCTAAAGCTTCTGGCTTCCAGCCTTGGGCTTAATCCATTCAGCCAGATTGCCTCTTCAATTGTGGACTGAATTAAAAAAAAGAAAAAGTACTCATGTATCCTTGCTATAGAACAAGCTTATTGACATAGCCTCTAACAGTGTTAGTGATTTAAACAGGGAGAGAGACCTGATCCTTTTAGTGGTTTTGTTTGTTTTGTGCAGTCTTGGACTAACTGCCAAGAATAGTTCCCTTGTTACAGAATGGGCCTCTAGTTTCTTTAGTAGTAAAGCTTGAAAACCAAAAACCAAGAATGTAGGATATTTATTGCATGATTTCTCTATTAACTCAAATTGTAAAATCCCACTGAAAATTGAAAAGAGTAAACAGGATTCAAAGGAAACTCCAAACTTTCCCATGAACTAGAATTTGTTGATTAGACTTTTGTCTTTGTCCCTCCACCCCCCCCCCCCCCCCCGTAGTTCTTAGGGAACTTCACTTTAATGAATCAGAAGATCAGTACTTATTTGGTAGAGCTGGTTTTGCCTGTTTACTTTTTATTAAAAAAGTTTTATCTTACTCAACCTATAGACAGCTCTTTAACATTATTCACCACCACCACCTTGAAATGTTGTATTCTCTGAGTTTCTATAACATCACAGTCTTCTGATTTTCTGATTCTTTCGTCTTCTTAAGACTTTCTTTTATGGGCCTCTTCATCTTCATGGCCATTAAATATTGATCCATGTCTGCATTGTGAGCTAGGGTAGTGTTAGTGAACCACCTTTGGGTGACCCCATCTATTACAATGGTTGTCATTTGTCATCTTTGTGCTAAAGATTTCCAAAACCATATTTCTGGGCCAGATATTTCTCCTGAATCCTGAACACACTTATTGAACTCTTTATTGGATGTTTCCATTCTGAAGTCATTGAATCATCTGAAACTAAGTTGAACTTTTCTTTCTTTCCCAAACTTCTTTCTTTTTTTTTCTGTTTTTTGTTTTGTTTTGAGCAAAAATACCATTCATGCAATTTTCTAAGCCTAAAACTTAGGGATCATCTTTAATTCTATTTCCCTCATCTTTATATATAATCAATCATTGAGTTCTGCAGGTCTTATCCCTAAATATCTTCTTAGTCTATTTCTTTCTGCTTTTATTGCACCATCCTGTTTTGCTTGTTGTCGTTCAGCTATTGTCTCTACTTAGAAAGCTTTTTCTACACCTCCCTTCCCCTAGGTTTCCAATTCCAATTTACCATTTAGATTTTAGCCTTTACAGGTGATTATCTCTAGAAAACCTGTTTACTCTGTAAGTCTGTGTTAGGCATCATCCTCTCTGTACCACAGCAGTCAGCCTTTCCAAAGCCCTTGACATTACTTTGAACTTGCTCATTTGTTTGTATTAGTATCTCCCACAAGACCAAGTTCTTTAGAAGCAGGAATTATGTTTGTTTTTTCTTTTATTTAACATATTTTTACTGAGTACCTGCTATCTAATAGGAACTGTTGTAGGCATTGGGGATATGATAGTGAAAGACAAGGTTTCTGCCCTTATGGAGTTTCTGTTCTAGAGCTATCTAGCAGTTCTAGATAGTGAGTAAGCAAAGTAACAGGATTACTTTAGGCAGTGATAAGTGCTTTGAGGAGAATGAGTGCTGTTCTAGGTTGTGACTAGCAAGGAGTAAGTGTTAATTCAGATTAAGTTGTGGGAAGGCCTCACAGAAGAGGTAAAGTTTGAGCTAAGACCTGGAAGATTATTAATATCTAGCCAACTGGTGAGATGATA